AATGTTTTAAATAATCTGACAATGGAACAAAGATTTATTCATTAATATTAAGGAATTATTTACTTGTTTCAAGTAAACGATATCTTGCTAAAAAGTAACTTTTAAGTCATTTTTGTCTTATTTCACGTTTACTAAGATATTTACACTAGAAACTAGACTAAGAATGTTTGGTAAGATTTTGTGTTTCTGCAGCGAAATTAGTTGACCATTACTTTAAAAAACAAACAAAAAAAAGATTAATCGTTTCAGAACTAGAAAAAAAACTATCGCTGCACATCCACCTGATCAGAGAAGATGACTGCAACAAAAATGGTTCTACAAAGTATCACAAACACGTTTTAGAGTTTTAACTGTAAAACCTGATTAATCACGATTAATCATTTCAGCCCTAAGTGTCATCATGATGTTCAGTCAGTTCGCTCAGCTCTTCCTCCAGCCACAGCTCCTCCTCCTCCTCCTCATCCTTCCACTCCTCATCCTCCAAAGTGCCGGAGTCGGTCAGGGTCCCGCCTCCGTCTCCCCTCAGCACCATGGTGAGTTCTCGGACCGCCTCCTTGACCACGGACAGCTCGTTCTTCATCTTCAGGATGCTGTTGTGGGCCTGCAGGTGGTCCAGCTCCTGCCTGATCTCCAGGATCTCGTTCAGAGCTTTCAGCATGCTGTCCTCGGTGCCGAACACCTGCAGCGTCACTTCCTCCAGACGCTTCTCTGCCCCGCTCAGGTCGCCGTTCAGCTTCAGGATGGAGCGCACTGCCTCCTCCACCTTCGGCAGCTGCTCCTCGCACTGCTGGGCGCGGGGGATGTGCTCATGGAGTTCAGAGGTCAGCTCAGCCTCCCTCTTGGTCAGGCTGCCGATCTGCTCCTGCAGCTTGTGGATCTGCTTGGTGTTCCAGTCCAGGTGCTCCTGCGCCCGCTTGGCGTCGTCCTCCTCCGTCCGCTCCAGAACGCGGGCGTTCCTCTTCGTGCTGTCCTCCAGCTCCTCCAGCCTTCTCGCCAGCGCCCGGGCCCTCTGCTCGGCCTCGTTCACCCGCTCCGTGGCGCCGGCGTGCGCCTCGCGGGACTCGGCCTTCAGGGCCGCCAGGTCCGCGGTGACGGCGGCCAGCCGCTCCTGCCACGTCTCCGTCACATTCAGGAAGCGGGCGTTGACCGCCTGCAGGTCGCGGGACGCCAAGTTCTCGTCGGCCTGCATCGCCATGGCGACGGCGTGGAGGGCGGAGATGTCCTTCTGGAGTCTGGTTACCGTGGAGACGGTAGAGAGCGCCTCCTGAAGGTCGTCCTCGGATGCAACGAGCTACAGCCGCAACACAAAAAAGGAGCGCGGTTTCTGCGGAGCTGCTTGACTCTTTCATGAGTGACAGTGTTGCCAGATTGGGTGGGTTTTCACCCAATTGGGCTGATTTCAACACATTTGGCTGTAAAAACTAACTTTAGGTGGGGTTTTGGATTTTTTATTTTTTTTACAAAGCTATTAGAGAAATTACCTCGAAATAGTTATTGTGTGGCAGAAAAGAACAAAACGTTTAATAAAAAGCCATATTATTGCACTTACCTCATTAGTTCATTTATTTTTAACCTCTAGAATCTGTCAAATGTGACATCATCAATGATTAGTCAACAGTTCACCACGTGTCACTATGTAGTAGTGTTGTAAAACAGAAATCCCAGGGCAACATCATAAACTAAAATGACATACAGCTACAAAAAGCTCAAGTCCGATTATAGTCAAAGACTCTTAAGTCCTTCTCAGTCCCAATAGGATCAGGTTCTGGTCAGAATATAACAAAGAACAACAAAATATGTCACAAATCTGAACGCAGTCGATGACGTATGTTACACGATTATATCTAAGGCTGGAAACTGTCAGATCTGGCAACCCTGCTGCTGTGGCGGTCCAAACCAGCCGCATAGTTTGCTTATTACTTGACTATTTCTACGACTCGGGTTAAATTACACTAAGCTTTAAAATTAAAAGAAAATATTTGAGACATTTTGAGAGAAACGGCCTCTAAACTTAGCGGCTGCTTCACTCTAACTCCAGCCGTACCTTCTTGGAAACTTTCACCATCTCTTCCTCCATCTCCAACAGGCTGGAGGTTTTCCCGTGCAGAGCTTTATACTTGTCTTCCATTAGAGAAAACCTCTCATTCTGCTGCAGCACCACCCTGAAACACAAAACGTACTCAGCCAAGAAGCAACACACAAAGGAAAATTAATTTAAAACTATAAATGTGCTAACTTACCAGCTCAAAACTCCGCATGCTACTAGCGACAGTAAACACATCAAACCTTTAATGTCTGGACCTGAGGACGTTTTATTTGCTCCACTGTTCTCTCCGTCTTCCGTTTTCACTTTTTGTGCCTCACCTTTACCGTTTGCAGGTGAATTTTGCGGCATTTCATCGTTTTGCTTTTGAGACTGCGTCTTTTTCCTCTGTTTAATTTCCGTAGGCATTTCGCAGTTATAAAATCCCGCTTTTAAACTATCGTTACCTGGCTTTAATCTTTAAAAATATAGTCAGTTATTCCATATGTAGCAGACAAAAGCAGGATATCCTACTTAAAGACAAATTCATAGTGAATTAAGCGATAAATATCTGATTTTACCAGCGGAGATTAGCTAAAGTTACCGCTACTGCTCCCAGGAAAAGTGCTGCCTTCATGGGAAATTGGTCAATTTAAATTCAAACTGTACCAAAGCAGTACAACTAATACATTAGTAGTTGCTCGGGTCTTTAGTTCTGTCTTAAATCGTAAATGACTATTCCATACCTAATTTAAAATCTTAGTTACTCTTTAATTGTGTACACACAAGGTATAGCAGTGTCAAATACTAAAAGTTCCGACAGAGCAGGAGCTTCCATGAACGCAGCAGCAAGCCACGTTGGCGAGAGAATTTGTTAGGAATTTCATCATTTATTTGAATATTTTATGTACAAATAAATTACTTAAATGTCATAATAAGACAAATATTTTGATAAGATTATATAAATAATCTACCATTTTAATTGGTTATTTAAAGTGATTTCCAGTCTATTCTTATTAGTTCTTTGTTTTGCAAAATTAAACTTTTTTTGCCTACATGCAAAATCCCACTTGCCGAAAAAAATAACAGAAAAGTTAAGGCATAACAAACCTGAGTCAAAAATGGACAAGATGATCATCAGTAGCTTTATTTTATGTATAAATGATAACCAAAAGCTCTTTACAACACTGTACTACACAGCTATTACTGAAAACTATGATTTCATCTTATTTTCAGGATTTGTCTTGTACGAATTACAGAGGGAACATGCAAAATTAAAAAAAGAAAAACGTGTAACAAAGCAAAACGGCATACAAAAAAGAGACAAAGCAAACATAAATGCATCTTTAACTCAGAGACCAGAGACAACAAGGCCAAAGCTGCCATGTGCAAATTTTCAAACTAATTTTGAGTAAACGGAAAACAAGAATCACACCAAAACATTACAATCAGGTCGAGTAAAAAAACCTTGATACTTGGGCCAAGGCTTATGGTGATGGGAGCAAACAAATATTCTGTTAACGGTGTAAAATTCTTTGACTTTTGGCTCCAAAATAAACATATTCAAAATAGCTCTGAGCAGTCAAGTAATGGATAATAGACATTTAGGAGGTATGAGTAGTGCATCTTTTGGACGGTAACAGACTTCCAAAAAAACATCAAAAAAATAGCAGATGGTTGTTTAGGAAATCTGGGTCCAATGCCTAACTGTCACATTTTCCAAGCAAATCCTCGGCAGTGTTTAGTGGATAACTCCTCCTCTGACTGTGTGGATTCCTGGACGTTTCTTTCTTTTAACCAGCAAACTATGGAGTTGAACCAGGACATGCTGTCAAATCCACTTTGCATGCCAAATATATACAGATATTTCATCAAGATTAGTTAAGTAACTAAAGAGGCGGCAATTTTCAGAACGGGACGGTTTATATTTATCAAAAAGCAGAGACAAAGATTTAAAAAAAAATAACAAAAATGACAAGATTTCCTACAGAAGAATTTTGTAAATTTATACAAAACTGAACCGTACCAGCAGTAAAGGCACACGTTTAATTTTAGTAAAGTTTAATATTACAGTAGTGTCAGCCAAATTTGAATTAAACACTTTAAATAGTGTAATGAACCTACTTGAAGTAAACTGATTTTTTTAAAATGGTAATTAAGTAACAAAAAAAAAAATATATATATATATAGTGATTGTCTTTGGTGATAAAATTCAGATGAGGAAACCGGTTTTACATTTATAATTTAGTCTTAAAGATTTTTTGTGCCTTTTCAGCTAACCACCCGACTCCATGATAAATATGAGCATAAATATTATTTGCCATTTTTTTAAAGATGCATTTCAAACTATTTTTCAAGGCGGAATGATTATACAAAACAATCCATCATTTTTAAAGACACTAAAATTGCTTATTACCTAAAAGCTTCACCCTGACATAACAAAAAAACAACAAAAAAAGAAAGAAGTAGTTTAACTGAAGCCCAAAATTAAAAATGACATTCATGTCCATGATGGATGTTAATAAACCTCTGACCATATTGTATGAAAGCTTAAAGAATCAGATCTTCTTTTGGTAACTTCATTTGTATGACCTCAACTCAAAGATGAGCTTACATTTAGAAACTCAGCTGGTTCCTTATGGTTTCTGCCGTCTTTTGGTCCGCTCTGTAAGGAAGCAAACCTAAGTGCACTTCAGGGACTAAAAGGACACTTGCAAGCTTTTCTGAATCAACAAAAGGAACCTGTAACAGCATGGTGACCTGGTGAAACCCAAATAATGTGGATTTGATCAGATAAATAATAATAAAAAAGCAAAAAACGTTAAGGAAAAACTCTTCATGACACCACGAAGATACTCCATCTGCTAATTACAGCACTTCTAAATACACAAACCCAGAAACCTTAAAGCAGAGTAATTGATATTCAAGTCTCCAAGTTAAACAAAAATCATCTCTTTTTTCCTTTTTTTTTTTTTACATCTGCACACGTTGTTTAATACCAAAAATATACAAAGAATAATTTTGGTGGTAAACGTGCAGACTTGCTACGAGCGTCGATGTCTCAGCTCCTGGAAACGCGATTTATGTTCGCACTGCCACTTAGGAGTTGTAGTGGTCCTAAAAAAAGAAGCAGAAGATAACCGAGTTATTAACAAGATGTGAACGAGTGATTTTATTCAAAGAGTGTTGAGTGTTTGACTAACCTGGATTGTGCTGACTACGCCGCTGGCCATGACCGACAGTTTCCCTGCGACTGAGCGCACGCCGAGTTTGAGTTGCGACATGTCGGGAGCGTTGGGCAGCACGTTGCTCAGACGGTATGAACTTCCTGTAAACATGAAGCGAGAGTCAAACACAAGAGAAGAGGTCCAGATGTGACAGTTGGGAAAACTCCCTCACAAAAAGCTAATCCCTGATGAGTAAAACACAAACTGATCATGTGTAGAAAAGTGGGACTTTCAGGTGCTTCCATTCACTACTGTTATGGTTACCACAATCACTGCAGGGCGAGCTGATATTAATTCCTCTGATGACACGAGAGAAGAAACTGCATTTACCTGAAAGCTTTCAGAATATAACGGGCAGACTTGTCTCAAAACAGAGCTTTTAAATCCCTCAGCAGGGTGCTGGTTTGCCGGATGTCCAACCTACTACTTTCAGACATTTCTCCTGACTTCCTTCTGCTACAGAATACATTTCAACTGCCTTGTTTTTTATTCACTCACAATTTTTGACACATTTCTCAATTTTACATTTAGAAAGAATAGAAGTACCACGAGGAAGTCCGGAAACGAGATTAAAACGGAAAATGTTAAAAAAAAAAAAAAAAAAAATCACAAAAGATTTTCTGTCATTTATAAATTTGTAAGTTCTGTACTATGTGTATAAAAACTGACCAAAAAGATAAGCTGTGTCTTACCAGTTTCTTTCTTTGGATCATCAAAAAGGTCCGCTGAACTTATCGAGGCGCTCCCTGAAAACCTCTCCAGTCGCGTCCTGGTTTCGTACTGAAGAGAAAAACATTTAGTTTTTAAAACACGTTTGTGAATCAATTTGTGTGTTTGATTCCCTCTTTCTCCAATTTCCCTAAAATTGTGGAAATAATTTTATTCATTTTATAATATTGAAATGCAGATTTTACTCATTTTGTACCTCAGAGTTGTCTTGTTTTCCAAAATACATGTCAGATGAGATCGCCTTGACATCACCTCCAAACTTTTTCTGAGCTTCTCCAGAATCCGAGTAGGATGGCAAGTCAGATTTTCTCCTGGCAACGGGCCTGTTGATAAAAAGTTAAACATCACAGGAACGCAACTATTCAAAAGGAAACTTTCTAAGAAAAATACTTTGGATACATTTCAACACGACTACATTTGTAAAATAAGTCTAATGTTTAATTTTCTGTCACACTTTGAGCTCAAGAGATAAAGATTACAAGACAAGAATCATAATATTCCAGTCAAACTCATAAAAACAAGTAAATTAAAAGATTTTGGATCAATTTTCCATTATATACCATCATTTCCTACTTCTCATTGTCTAATATACCTGGGCACATTTTTCTCTTCAATATGAGAATAAGTTAAAAACTGTAATCAAAGTTACAAAGTTTGGACGGGATTTAGTTTTAATTCAAAATATCAAGTATTTCTGGATGTTTTTCAACAATAGTTATTTTACATTATTCTATCCAACTAGCGGAGATTATGCAGCACAACAATAGCCTCTATAAAATATAAGTTGATTCTGTGCAACATTATATTTTATAAAATAAATTAGAAATGCAGAAAACACAGAAATAACCGTTTTGTTCCCAAAAATGCAAAGTTAGAAATCAGAAATGACCAGATAAGAGAGAACGAACAGGCGTCACGATGGACTAACAACCACATAAAGGTTATAATTAAATCAACTCAGCAGCATTTTATAAAGTATTAGTAGAGCAAAAGCTTCCAGTGAAAACAGGACAAAAAAAAAACTGTTACATGTTTTATGTTATTGTCCACCATTGTTTCTTTTTTTCCTCTGAAGCACTTTGAATAATCCTATAAATGGTGCTGCACACATAAACTTACCATCAAAGAGTACAAGTTGGTGAAGGGCTAAAATAACCAGCAACCACCAAAAGTAACTATAAATAATTCAAAATATATAAATACCAAAATCATCCTACCTGTCGTCAAATGAAGACACGGCGGCGGACATGAAGAAGTCCGGCTCTGGTTTCTTGCTCTCCTTCAACCAGCCGCTTCCGCTGCTGCCATCATTTCCCCAATGCATAGAGAAACTATCAGAGGTGTCCGTTTGATCCTCGAACCGTGAAACATTCCTTAAAAAGAACAAACAATAATTCACAGTCATTTTAAAAACAGAAAGATGTTCCAACACTAAATCAATTTGAAGGGTTGTTTTCCCCACAAAAAGTCTGGAACAAGACATTAAAAAAGCCAGTTAATATTAAAACTAGTAGTAGACTTCTGCTTCATAGTATGCAAATTTTACATTTTGCATATCCAGACCAGAATGTTAAGCGTCTTATTTAATCAACGCTACAGTTAAACTATGGAGAATATTTTCACAAAGGGAAATTATTAGATATGGAGAGCCATTTTATTCCAAATTAATTAAATAAATAGAAATTAAATTAATAGAAATCTTTAATATTTCTTCTTATTTATATTAAGATTTCTTTCTTTCAAGATTTATTTTTATTCATCTCAAGATTAGATTTTCTTTTGATCTTTTTTTAATTACTTCAACATTTACTTATTTCATAGTTGAGTTTCATTTTACTTTGTAAAACTACTTTACATATTTCAGAGGCTTTTATTTATTATTTACTTATTTCATTTTAAGCACTTTTTAATTTTCTGGAAGCTAAATATGCTGTAAATATAATTATTTTTTTCAACTAAACAACTAAGGGAATACAATGTCATCTAGATTAGTTTATTTCAGTAACCTGCAACAAAAAAAAATAAAAAGCCTAACTTATATATACAATAAAAACTAATAATAATTGAACTGTGTTTACACAGATTTATCGGACCTTGAGCTAAACGTCCCGTCGTACTCGTCTTCCTCAGTAAACCTGCGGCCCTTGGTGGTCTTGGCTCCGAGCGGACTCTCCTGCTGGATGATGTGCATGTCTGACATGACGGAGTGAGAAACTCCGCTGCAGAGACAAACAGAACAGACTCCAAATGAGAACAAGACCCAGACAAATCAAACTGATTTGTTAATCACCATCCTACCTCCTCATACCCAAACCCATGCCCAGTCGCTCGGCCTGCTCCTTCTTCTTCCCCTCCAGCCCCTTCAGCTTCTGCTCCCCGATTTTCCTCTGCTGCTCTAAATCTTTATAGGCCAGACGCATGGACGGAGCGCTTAGGGAAAAAGTAAGAAGAGATATTAAAAAGCAGACAGGTTTCATGCTTTAGTGGTCATTTCAGGTGGTGTTCTCACATGGAGTCCTCAGGTGTGATGTTCCTCTTGGCGCCTGTGGCGGAGCTTTCTTCTTTCTCCCGGAGTTTGTCGGCAGCCTGAGCCGCTTTCTCCAGCTCGGAGAAACTCTGGCTGCTGACCTTCTGGGCGCCCAGGCCGCCTTTCTTAGAGGCCAGCTGCAGACAGAGGCGTCAAGAAAGTGTGTGAAATCCCAATTATATTCAACGTTCATGCAGACGAGTCCATTTTCTGAAACACGTAGCCCAATACAAGCCCTTAATATCAGCCGATTGATAATTACTGATTAGTTTTTGCTTTAAATATCTGGAATACTAAACTGGTGGCGTCCATTTTATTATTTTTAAGCAGTTATGAGGCACAGTGACGAAACCTTAAACTGCTGCTGTGGAAGTTACTCAATAGGCTGTTGCTAGGTAACCAAAGAGTGAGGGAGTGGTTGCTAAGTAACCAAAGATTCCACCGACCTAGCTTAGCAGACTGTTGTGAGAGGCTGGATGGCTAAAGCCTTTTTCTCTGCCAACATCCCTCAGAACGCAAATTCAAATGAAAAAACTTTTTTTTTTTTTTTTTTTAATTGTGAAGAAAAATTGTGGGGGGGAAAGAGAGGTTCTTTGAATTTTTACAACATTTTGGACATTTTGCCTTTTAAAAAAAAAAAAAAAATAGTAACTATTTTGGACAAACTTTGATCAACTCTAATTCGACAACTCAAATTTAGACCCGATCAAACTGAAATTTTATTCAATTTTAAGTTCAATCGCTTTTACAAAAACATAATCCGTTTTCTTTCTGATTATTATTTATTTTATTGCGCTAGTGAAACATCGAAGGTCTAATAAAGCTGTGAAAATATCTTTTCTGATAGTTTTTGCATTTATATGCAAGCCAAAAAGGTATTCATACATCTGGCAGATCCAGGATTACCAGTAGAAATAAGTAAAAAGCTTACAGTTACATAGACTCCTTAATTTTATCTTAAACATTTCTGATGGTGGCTTCAGTTATTCTTGATAAACTGCAACAACGTGAAAGGTTTATTACTGAAAATAGTCAAAACTTTGCTGATAAGTTAATAGAATTCATTGCAGACACACAATTAGAGAGAATGAAAAAGAGATTAGTTTCCAAAACATGTTTTTCTATTTACCGTTTTCTTGGCAGCGGCTGGCTTCTTTTTTAGAAGTGAGGATGGCTCTAGAAAACACAAAATAAAAGTTTACTTTTTCTACAATTATTACAATAGAGTTAAAAAAAAAAAAGTACTTAAATACGTTAAAGGGAATCATTTCTAAAAACAAAACTTCAAATAAACCTGGATTTGCTTTTGGGGAAACACTTAGTACTTCAACACTTGGGCCTTCTTCTGAATTTCCTGAAATCAAAATGCATGTTTGTTGAATCGGTGATCATTAAAAAAAACAAAAAGACAAAGATCTTTTCTTACTACAGATACCATTTCGATCTTCATCTTTCTCCTCGATGGAAGGTTTTTCTAGTGTGGGGCTGAGACTCATTTTGGCCATGTTTAGATTTTCAGGCACATCCTGGAAGACAGACAGAAAGGCTAAAACACTCAAACGGCCTTTACTGGAGAGTGTAAGCATACAGAGGAATAACTGATGCATCAGCATAAATATGTGGAGATTTCTCAACAATTACCCCTTTGTTGTGATTGCAGTTTAGTTAAATAATCATTTTCATTCACAGGCAAAGCCAAAATCTACAATAAATGTATCATAAATAAAAAAAAAATACAATGACTCTAAATCTACATCTCTACCATATTGTTAGCTAAATAAACTGCAAAAATTGTTAAAAGAAAGTCAAGTTTTAAGGCACCATAAGGAGCAAAAAACATTCAAAGACAGAATAAATCAACACTAAAACCATTGCACTGAAAAAAATATGACAAGCATAAAACAATGGGATCATTTCGATGTTTCTTTACCTGTGAATGCAAACTGAAGAAGTCCACATGCTTGTCCTCTGGTGAGGTCGGAGAAAGAGGACCCTGACTGTCAAGCCACAGCTATAGTGAAAAAGGCAAAAGCAGCAATTGATAATAGCTAATTAGACACTTTTAACTAAAGTTTGATAAGCAAAGGAAGCAGCACAGGAAGCCAGAGATTCCTGTTCGCTGTACCTCAGTGCCATGACGTCTGGTAGCTTGCGTGGCTAAAGTTTTGATCTTCTCCCTGTACATCTGGGCGGCACGGCTGTTGTATTTAGCATTGGCGGCACCAGCTTTGCACCCATGTTGATTGAAAAACGCAATCTGTCAAAGCAGAGTCAAAAAAAAACACAGAGAAGATTCAACATATTTCTAATGATGCCGGAACATGAAGGTTTCCTGTCTTCTATCGGCACTCACAGCACTGGCGTTGCCTCCCACTTGCATACATCTAAGCTGGAACCATGACCAGTTAAAATCCAACTCAGTGGACCTGTGTAACAGAACATACAAAGCGTTAGAGTAAAAACAGGTTTAAAACAGCATCAAAGTGCTGTACAAAAACTATAAAACAACATGATGAAAAGAGGAAAACAAAAAATAATAATACAAAAAAAATAATACAAATATCTCAGTGCACTTGAAGAGGAAAGTAACTTACAAGTAACAAGAAATATGAATAATTAAGGAATTATTTACTTAAAACAAGCTCAGCTTTATTGCCGGAAACTTACTCGTATATTAGTTTTCTCTTATTTCAAGTATCCTAATAAATATGCACATGAAACTAAGCCAGAAATACTTGGTAATAGATTGTGCTTTTGCAATGTATGAATGAATTTAAATGAGTGTAACCAAGCTTGGTTCTATAAATATTAAAGCAACAGAATGGCTTAGATCAAGGCATACTGAAACGGTCCAGTCAAAGTCTAGATTGGGAACTTGAAAATTGCGCACAGGCGCTCTTCATCCAGTTTAAGAGTCCGAACAATTCTTGTTAGAGGAAAGAGTCCTACCTAATAAAGGACAGGTGCACTCCCAATGACCTGTGAGTCCCAGAGCAGTCTATGCAGAGAAACACTCCGTAGGTGATGCTGGCCCAGCTGGGGTTTTTAGCTGCACAGTCGAAGCAAACCTGAAGACCAAAGAGCAAAAACTGATCACAAAAACGAGGTAGTATCTGAATTCACGTTTTCTAAATCAATCGTCCGACACCAGTCAAACAGCTGTGAGGGTCTGAAATACATTTATATTCAAACAGCTGTGGACGACTGGGTCTGAATTGCAATTTAAGGTAGCATACAGCAAAACTGTAAATGCTTTACTTTCATTAATGGCGCCAGAAGAGACGTGTGTCAGTATTTAGTTTGGACTATACACTCGAAAACTAAGCCTAAACAAACAAAACTGATGAGACGGGCGTCTATCCGTTTTGGCTAGCGCTACATCTGTTTGGAGTAATTAACTTTTAAAAAACGGTCATTTCGACTAAATTGTAGCCAGAACATAATTAGGATGTCGTAACAACCTGCTTCCACCAGTCAGGCTAATTTACCATGACAAAAAAAAGCGGATAAGAGCTGACTAATCTGGTTAAAAGGAGCCAGCACAGGCATTTTTTAACAAAGTGCGACGTGTCATATATCTCATTAGCTTTAGCGGACTTCCTTGTTAAAGACACCCCAACGTTTGTCGTTCATAAAAACTCACCTTATTCGTTGGAATGGAACGCAGACGCTTGAAAATGGCAGAAATATCCTGTCTGCTTGGTTCAGCCATCGTTTCAGCTGGTTAAAGAAATGGCAACTAAAGAAGCTCCGTGTTTTTTCCCCCAATAACAATCCAATGCGACACGTCAGTTGGAGAGAAGCAGGACCCGGCTCTGATTGGCTGAGCCCAGCCCGTGGTTGTGTTGTTGTAGAAAAGGCTTCTGGGTAATGTAGTTTTCCCCAAAAGCAACAGCTACGTTTGCGCGTCTTTTTAATGTGACCTTTCCACTGAAAAGCCTTTAGAAGCAGCATTTCAGTCACCATCAGGAAAAAAACTAGAATTTATATTACATAAATGTGATATATTGTCTCATAGATTGACTCAAGATTAATCCTCAATGATGAGATTATCATTTTGACTAGATATGATCACATTCAAAAAAATTTACTTAAATAAATCAACATTAATAGTATTTCCAGAGTTTTGTCTCAACTAGTTTATGAATAAAATGCTATCTTGATATGAAATATTTATAGTCTACAATATAAAAATGAAATAATCCCATTATAAAATCTTGATCATTTTGATTTAGCTACCTGATAATTGAGTTTGATAAGAATGTCATCATCTTGAATTAACTGCCACATAATTGAGATATAATTATGACCTACCTCAAAATAAAGTTTTACTTAATTACTTCAGATCTTAATATAAAACCCTCATAATTCTGTCTTAGCATCCACATAATTATAGACTATAAAATTTCATGAGATAATTTTCACTTATCCAATAGTATCCTACAGTTAATTAGAATCCTTTATATGATAGCTTCACAAAAACGATTATAGGCATAAATTGGCTTAAATAAAAGTTAAGCTAATTACAAAACTGACAACAAAATGCATATGGTTTAATATAAACTGGCACTAAATAAAAAAAACGCAAAACAGACCCATAAAATGAATGCAATAAGTGTTAAAAAATTACAATATGATCATAAAGGAATTAAAATTACTTTAAGCCACAATGTAAATTGTATTAAATGACACTTAGTGATTTTTTTTGATTACATAAGTCAAACCCAAACCTAGGCACTGAAAAATAATATCTACAAGGTATATCAGATGAAATATGGCATAAGCATTCCTATTTTTATATTAAAAGGCAAATCTTTTGCTGAATAAATCTATTTATTATGTTGTGATACAACATTTACAAATGTGCAAGTACAGCTGTTACTGCCGACCGACAGCAGCCCACCCTGAAAACATGACAAAACAGTTTTAAAGACAAAAAAAACCGTCATCTACCTCAACGTTGGATATATAAACTATGAACAGGATGGAGTCCATTTCTGAAGAGGAGGAAAAAAAGAAATACCCAAATGTGCATTAAGGTTGTTAAAAATATGAGCTTTTATGTCAAAGGTTTTAGGATGAAACTAGAAATTAGGCATGTTGTATAAGAATGTAAATGGCTCTGTGAAGGAAAAACAAAAATATTTACAGGAATAACAAAGTAACAGCCTCAAGAAATACTCAAAAACAATCATTTGATGTACAAAAGTATTTTAAATTACAGCATTCTAGCAAGAGTAGAACAAGAGCACTTGTGGGATTATAAATTATTCTACTTCAAAACATGTAATTTCTTCAATATGCCTAATCCATGTGCAATACGCTTAATCCCAGCATTTATTTAAACGCATGTCTGCCACACATTGCTTGGATGCATTTTTATTGCTAAAACAAGCACTAAAATTTTTTATTTTTTTTCAAATGCAGGACAATTAGATTTTAGAAAGTGAACTGAAACATGCAGATTCAAGTGAGAGAAACATTCAGTGTTGCATGAATAATAAACAATATAATTATGCAATCTGTGTGTGTGTGTGTCGGCAGGAAAAAAAAAAGTAAAATAAGAAAATCAGTGGTTGCATACGTCTAGCATCTGTAAAATATGTGAAAAATACAATCACTGAATATACATTCATCTGCACTAACCTGAAACCTTAAGAGAAAAACGGAGATGAAGAAAGGATGAGGCTCGACAGCTCAAAAATAATTCCTTAAGATAAACGAAAGAGCAAATTTAAAAGGGTAATACATGGAGGTCAATATTATGCAAAGACATGTTCTACATATCAATGGACTGGAGTCCATTAGCAAGAATAACTAAAAAGTCTCCCTCAATTAATAAAAAAAAAAAAAAGGGTTTAAATATTAAGGTTGCATTTGACGTCACAAGGCAGGTTGTCATCCCAGTGTTTTGTTTTAAACAATATATATATATATTTACACATTTATTAACACATTTAATTGAATCTCACCTAACACACATCTGAATAGCTTGTCTGTAACAGCATTAATGTGATTTTATGTAACATCTTAGACGGACAGCAGCTGTTCCCCCGGTAACATGTGCTCTGCTTTCTTCTCCCGCTCTTTTGTTCACACCAAAGCCAATCTGTAGCAAGCAACAGTGGTCCTCATACAACACGCTTATTTAATCATTTACTAAGGAGGAAGAGAAACATCAAGCCGATTCTGCCCGAACGCTGCTTCTTCTTCTTTCTTCACATTTGTTGCGTCGGGCGAAGCTTTTCACTGGATGTCTTCGACGTAATTAGCAGGATAGAGGCCGATTTGTCCGTCCTTGAGTCGGCCTTTGCACCAGCCTTGATCGTCCTCTGCTCCGATTTTTGTAAATTCGTCACCTGCAAAAGGTTAAAAGGGAACAAATAAAGGGCGAGGAAGATGGTTGACTGCCAAAATGTGTGTCAAAGGTCTACTTTCTATTACTAACTCACCACAATATCATTAAAGACTGGATGATAACCCAAGTTTTTGTTGAAAAAACAAAACAAAACAAAAAAAAAAACAGCTAGATAATTGCAGTACGTCTCTGCTCATAAAATTTCCAATGATTGCTTGAGGCAGGATGGCTAGAAATATTAGAAGATGTCAGAAGGAGATAATATTTTAAAAGATCTTAATCCGAATCTGCTATTTTTGGTATCAGGATGTCCGGGCTTAACAAAAGCACCAGACTTAGGGCTGCATAGAAAATTGCAATGAGGACATGAATTATGATTAACTCACATTTTCCTTGAACATAATGTCCCTCAAAACTCTGAGTTTTAGCATCTTGGCAACTAGAAATATCCATCAAGTCGGTCCAGAAAAAAGTTACATTTATTGAAGTTAAAATATCATATTTCACTAGTCCTCAGAGGCAATATTTGCTAGGTTTCACAACTGTAATGACAATGGTGGCTCCACATTGTGTAGCTTTAATTAGCACAGCTACTAAGAAGGGGGAAATAATTGGTACAAAGCCGTCTAAAAATAGCTAAAAAGTTATGATTTTAAGGTCAAATGTGCAGATTCTTCTTCAACCAATTGTTGAATAGAAGCAGATTTGATACAGTGAACCATTTAAAATAGGAACTGCAGTAAAACATCAAAGTGACGAGATTTATAACCATATTAGGATAACATTTATCACTAAATATACTCAAAAGTTGGATTTGTCTTTTACGTCAGAGTTAGATTATGATACTGAAAAAAGCTTTTTACCAGAGGTTTTTATGTTATTTACGCTGCAAACCTGCTTTGAAGCTCAGCTCGTCCTGCTCTTGTCCTTCGTAATCGTAGAGGGCTTTAACGGGAACAGAAATGATCGGGGACTCGGGTTCTTCCTCAAACGGATTGCCGTCGCCGTTGGTGGAGAAAGGGTTTCCGGCTGTGTCCTCGTCTGACCAGTCTGGGGTCTTCTCTGTGCTGTTGGTGCTGGACAGACAGGCAAAACATCCTCACTTTCAAAAAAAATAAAAATAAAAAATTAAATAACCTGCCATGTTGTTTTTGGTAAAGGTGCAGCATGCCAGGCTTAAGAGTTCAAAAGTTAGAAGTAAGACGAATACACCAGCAGGAACAAACCACACAAAAGCCCAAAGTGCAGGTGAATAACACGATGAAAACATTTGGTTTCAGTCACATCCAGTGTAAAAATTTGCTTATTTGTGGCAGCGGCTCAACTTAAATGAACGTAATTTCTTTCATGCCTTTAGGAGATGAAGAGCTGGCAATGTTGATGAAAGGTAAGTTAAAAAAAAAAAAAAGTAAAACATGGCAACAAACATAGCAGGTTCATGAAACAAAAAAACAAAGGCCAAGCAAGACAAATCATCACTACAAACGTATGATTGGTGTTTTAACGTTGACAGCCAGCAGAGGGAGCCACCTAAACAGAAAGAACTGGGTTCTGATAGCTGGAAAAAAAAGAAAAGCAACACAAGGGGGTTACAGTCAGACCGGTTGGGAGTTAGAAACAACTTTTAAATTGATATTTTTGACTTAATGCCAATTGGAAATGAACTGAATTAAGTAATCAGTCTCTAAACCTGTGAATACATGTGGCAGAAATCAGATCTGACTGTAAGACCAAGACATTTCCCACAGCAGAAACGAGCGCCTCCATGCGCGTCTCGGCATTTAACGCTCTGCAAAAACGTGAAACTGACGCACACCGACTGTGTGCAGTGCCGTTCAGAGACCATGCAGAGCAACACAACAACCTGAACCCTGAGGGAAGGAAAAAAAAAAAAAAAAAAAAAAAGAAGAGATGCAGGAGACGTGGCACAACGACAATCTAAGGAGTAAAAGATGGAAAAGGAAGAGGAACAAAAGAGGCTGCGGGTTGGCGGAGGGTTTCCTCCTGTTCACCAACGTTTTTATTTCCTCTTTATTCACAGAGACGTGGTTGACGGTGGTCTGCTCCTCCTCAGCCATCTCCTCCTGCTCCTCATCATCTTCAAACGGGTTTGTGCCCACCGGTTCTGTTTTAGTAGCCACATTCAGGCTGATAACATGGAGCACAGTTAGAAATGGATTAACATGCACACACACACACACATATATATTTGGACAAAGGACACATATATATTTGGACAAAGGCAGAATTATTAAATAATAATTCTGCGTGAAAAGAAAAGGTAGATAAGACACTTTTCACTGGGTTGGGGTGAATAACTGCATTAGTTTGATGATGTTGGGATAACTGTCGCATTTGTTAAATCAGCTGTCTAAATTTCAGCTAAATGAATAGAAATGTAGAGTTTGAACATAACCAATTTCCCATCAAAAACGTACCAAAATAAGCCTAAAAACTGGGTTTACACCTGGAAACAAACTGATTTAAATTCACAACCAATTATGGCAGAAGATTATTGATGGATACAAAAAGCCTGTAGTTGAAATTCAACTTCCTAAACATAAAAATTTAAGTAATATATTTTAAGGGTTTAATTTTAAATGCACTTATTCAAGGCTTTTTAAGGGCACTCTGACACCTTTGTTTTTTTGTTGTTTTTTTTGATCCAGTTAATGCAAAATAAAAGTAGTTTAAATGAAAAGCAGAAAGGTCAAAATTAATTATATTCAACAACAGGTGTGTAACGTTCCGACACACGCTGGAGCAAGATGCAAATCCATCATCTAAACCCACGCTGAAGAAGTGGATCCATGCAAATGCCTCGTCACACGCACAAAAAGCGTTCAACCAATAAGTGAGGAAGAAAAGGTTATTTTCTACGCTGAAATGTTTTACTGAATGCTGATCCGTTTCTGACTGGAGTCCCTCCTTGTTGACCGAGTATCTGCAGCAACAGTTTAACTCTGAAGTTATTTTAGCGAGCTTGAGCAACAAAACGACAAGGAAAAACGGAGGCATCCAGCTCAAATCAAATCGGCAAACAGCATTAGGCCTGTTGTCATTTTACTGGACAATTAACTGTCCCAGAGATTACAGCGATGGGACATTTATCACCATTTATCACAATAGTGATAAATGAAAGTACACCTAATCAAAGAACATTTAACAATGGAGCTGGAAAACATTTATAAAAAAATACAAACAAATAAAAACAACAATTAAAATAGATTATGAAGTCTCGATCCAAAACTGAATTTCAAAAATCAATAATCATTCAGGCTGGACAGGAAAAACAGGCATTTGAATGTCAATTGTTTGGAGCGTTTCTCAAAATGGCGGCTTTTCGATTACTTTAAGCAACTGTTGTCCAAATGATTAATTGATTTATTGCTTTTTGTGACAATCAGAGATGATAACAGCACTAAATTAGTCAGGCTTGGTACATCAGACCCAGTTATCCATTAACTGATTATGACGACGAAAACGTAAAGGACCCAAATTTCTGCATCAAAGCGCAAAACGCATCTTCAACTTTCCCCACAGGAAACACCGGGTTTCTGCTTTCCGTTGACTGAACTACTGGACCGTGCAACGCTGGCGGCTATCAGTTTGTTTTTTTTTTTAAAAAGTAACCGCCTCTGTTTACACGGTCATGCCAGACGGGTTGAGCCGAGGCTGCAGCGTTATTACAGCAAACACGGCGAGCTGGAATTTGGCACAATGTAACTTCAGAGAGTTTTAGCCGACAAACGAGATCTTTGAATTACAAATTAAGAAGAGAGTCTTTCTTCTTTTTTTTTTTTTAACTGGGCTGAAATCCCTTAGGGTTCATTGTGTGGCGACACAACTGATCCATAAACAAGATGAGAAACACTAACAATGGTGGGAAGAGGGTCAGGCGATCAGTAAAATGAAAGATCAAAGGTCAAATGCTTTAAATGACTGGAATTCCCTTTGTTGACTCCCTACACACTCCTGCCCTGCACCACTCTAATTTCTCATCACTCACTACAACCTGAAGACGCGTCGAAAAAAAAAAAAAAAAAAAAAAAAACAGAGGGAGGAACGTTTGACAGAAACAGACACGAGTCTGGTTTTATCAAATGGAACGCATCTGTTCGAAACTGAGAGAATGGTGTGATTTATTATCAGGTCTAATGTTCATCTTTTCCCTGACACAGTTAGATCTCCAGCAAATTCCTCTACAAGGACAAAAACGGCTTTATCTAATCGGGTCAGACGGATTCAATCACGTCATTAACAAGTGACAATCAAACCTTCAGCGGCTTTAAATCTTCACAGGAGTCAAATATCAATGTTTATATTTATGTTTATCAGAATTTATGTGAAAGTTCAACATTTTTTCAGGCTCAAATTTCACACTTAGTTTTTTTTTTTTTTTTAAACATGAAGAGAAAAATGTTCAATGAATTTATAGCAGATATGTTTAAAGTGGCCAGGGATTAAAACGGAGAAGAATAGATTCCTTTGGGACGATTAAGACTAAAAGAGTGAAACTTGTCCTTTTATTTAGCTCATATTTTATTAGCTTGTTTAATTGAGTCAAATCTTTTACTTATTTGCATTGTCAGTGTTTTAAGTTTTTGGATTTCAATGAGAGAACCTGTATACATAAAGGTCAGTTTAAAAAAAACCAGATGCATGGACAAAAATATAAAAGGAAATATGGACAAAAAAAATACGTAGATGAAAAGATGGACAAAAGAAGGGAATGATGGATGAAGGGAGAAGCGTAGCTGGGCAAACGGATGGATAAGAGACGAGCGGATATAACTATTTGACGAAGGAAAGGGAGTGTCTGGAAACACAAATCTTTCCATCCTCCGTTTCTTCCATTGCAGAACCTAATCCAGACCTTAAATAGTTTGATTCCAGATTTTTTCCAGACTGCTTTAAGCTGTTCCACCAAAAGCCATTAAACCTTTTAACTCCCCTGAACTTTATTTATTTACTTACTTATTGCTCCTGAACGTGTGCAAGTGAGCAATATTTCCACATTAGTTTTAGCACAGCTACAACAAACTTCTAATTCCAGGGGGGGGCGGGAGGGAGCGGCTTTCCGGAAACAGACATGAGTCTGGTTTTATCAAATGGATAAATGCATGATCATTTATCAAATGATCATTTGATAATTTATAAATTATCAAATACATACTTGTGTATTTTATTTTTAGACAAGTAAAATACATAAATATGTGTAGAACAGTGAGACTTTTTAACTACTTTAAGACTAAATAAGTATTTTGGTGACGCAGCTGGTGGGAGGAATAAGAGTGCCAACAATCTGGTGCATCAGAGTAACGGTGCTTCTCAAAATGGCGTGCAAAATGCTCGCCGTTGCTACGGGAACGGCCATTTAATGAAACATCATGCTGGCCGTGTTTTGGAGGAGTGGGCATTTCAGAAGAAGAAAACGGAGTTGATGCGTACCTGCTGCTGCTCTTGGCAGGTTGGACCGGCTGGTCCGACCCGGTCTGACTGATGGCTGTCAGGGTCACGCCCTCTGATGGTTTCTTCTTCTCTCGCCTGCTGAGGGTTCGGTTCAGGTCTACGGACCAGTCCTGGTGGACACGAAGCAAACAAAGTCAGAATGTTTAACCTTTTTTAATCCAAAAACATGCAGCAGCAGCATCAGACGAGAGAGAGAGAGAGAACGTCTTGCACTCACACATACGCAGCATGTGAATGATGTTCCAGTCTAAGGTAAGTAAAAATGTATTCAGGAAGACACACTTAAGAGCTTAAAGCTGTGCATGCATGTGTGTGTGTGTGCATAAGAGGCAGATAAAAATCACATATATGATCAAAAGCAGTTTCCATCACCTGCTGAAAGGAGGAACACTGAAACATTTGCCCACAACCAAAAGCTAAGCAGGAAACATGAAGCAACAAAGTGGAGGCCCTGAAATTCATCGACAAAACGTGTTCGTTTTGTCGATGAATATTTCTTACATTGGACAGCACCAACATTCACAATAAAGAACATTTCCTTTAGTCCGCGTTACAATAAAATAAGTTGTCGTAGCATGGCAACCCCAGAAGTACATAAATATACATAAATGTGTAGAAAAGTGAGACTTTTTAACTACTTTATGACTAAATACGTATTTTGGTGACGCAGCTGGTGGGAGGAATAAGGGTGCCAACAATCTGGTGCATCAGAGTAACGGTGCTTCTCGAAACCGGAGCAAGAATCCAGTGTTGGAACGAGTGAATGACCAAAATGCTCCGTTTACTGAACCACATTTGTCAAGTGTCTTCCAGATAAAATGGACAGTTGAGTAGGTAACAGTCAGGAACTTTGGACCAGTTTTTATGTATTCATTTATGCATTTACTCGTTATATTGTTTGTGTAATATTGTGGATTTTTCTTTGTCATCAGTTTTTGTTTTTCTGTTAATGTTCAGGTCTTTGTATCCTTTGGTATAAATTTATTTGAAAAACTTTATAAATACAAAAATGCCAGAGCAGAACTTATAATGGCCCACTGAATGCAATCAGAATTTGGTTTTAATTTTTCTATTTTTAATTTACCCGAGAATGACTTTAAATTAACGGGTGTGGTGCCAGTTTGTTAGGTTTACAAGCTACTGCTCATCACCATTTTCCTGACTTCTTCCTCACCAGCCAAAGTTAAAGGGATTTTTTAGTCATTTAAATCCCTACCTCATGAAATTAAATTATTAAATGTTGTGCGTTAAATCATTTTCAGCTGCGTTTCGTCTGTCTTGTTCTTTTACACTTTCCTGCATATTTTTGAGGTAAAAAACCTGAAAACAATGGGAAAGTAAAGTTCGTAAAAAAGTTGAAAACATGCCTTTTAACTATCAAATCAGTGTTGTGTGTCCATGCAATAGATTGATATTTGTACCGCCGTTTCATTCAGCATGAAATACAAATAGAGGGACATCAAAACACACACTAATTGACAGAGGTGTTAGATTGTTAGCGAGAATATAGAAATCCCCCCCATTGCTGCTGTGACAGAATAGCCTTTCCGTGCAGAACTCACTACGATGGACCGTCTCTTAAAGGAGCGAGGCTTTGACCGGTCCAAATTCTGTCAAACATGAGGAAAGGGAGGCAATTTTGGTTAGGATTACTGGAGCACAGTCCAAGCCTGTAAGCTTGAATGAGAGAATCAAAAAACCTGCAGCCTTCCTGAACACAGAGATGCTGTCCTTCATTCACATCCTGTCTAAAAAAGTCTAAGGTGAACATAGAAGGAAGGAAAAGGTGTAGGAAGGCCCCTCACATCAACGGCACTCAACAGCAAAATACCAATGCATGCAGAGGCAGTTTTTTGTTGTCGTTGTTGTCTTTCTCCCATTTCCCAACAAGAAAAACGACACCATTCTCTCTAACATGCCTCAGAGATGAAACAATAACAAAAGGCTGCACAGTCATGCAGAGGATACATTTACAAGGCAAACAGCTGCAGTTAGAGGTTATTTATCACCATCTGAGCATTAGCTTTTCTGTTCATTAGTGTAAATACAAATATGTTTATATTCATTACAAATTACAGAAAAACAAACAAAAAAATAACATTATAAAGCCAATGTGCATCTTTTTTACTCCTCTTTTCAAACACTTCGTTGTGTAAATATGTGCTGCGTTCAAGTACCTCAAACTGCGGCCAGTTCATGGGCATGCCCGGGCCGTGATTGGATCGGAACCATTTCAAGTCATCCTCAGCATCAGTAGCAGAGATCGTGTCTTCAAGCGTCTGGTAGACCGTCTGGAATCTATGTTGACAGAACAGTAAAATAAATTACTCAGAGTCTTTATCTCCAAGCCATAGCCTTTTGATTAAGGTTGTGCTCCCGTCGGACCTGGAGTCTGTAGAAAGGTCCAAGTGCTTCTTAACCTCCAGCAGAAGCTCTTTGAAGAAGCGAATACGTTTGTCTTCAAACTGCTGCGACTGCTCAAACACCTGCTCCATGTTTTCCATGTACTGAGGGGTCAACTTTTCGAGCTCCTCCAGAGATTTCTCATAGCGCTCTTTGGTCTGGAAACAATGCAAAGCCAAACAGGAACCACATATTTTCAATCTGAAACCCCCAGAAAGGGATCAGGTACTGTACATGAAGCCGGTCGTACCTTCTGGACCTCCTGCTGACATTTCTCCACTTTTTCCTGCAGTTTCTTCTGAGTATCTGGATTGTTGTTGCTCTCCAGCTTGCTGTTTGTTTCCCTGCTGGCTGCCAGTTTCTCTTCTTTGCAGGCTGCGTGGTAAGATTTCTTCATTGTCTCCACCTGCAGGATTCAGAATCAACAAAATAAAATACATAAAAAAAAAAAAACATTTAAAAAAAACACCAGTCCCAAAGCAAAGGAGCAAAGCTGACAGTAAAATCCGACATTCATGCAATAAAAGATTTTATTCCCTAAGCAGATAATTAGCAATTCACAATTAACTTTTATAAATTTTGAAGCAATCTTTGCATGTTAGAGGACTTTCATTTCAAAACTGCATACTTTACGCTTCACTTCAAATTCATGTGTAACATTTTAAATATGAAACCTCCAAAGTCAATTAATGGACAAAGAGCAGAAAAAATAAATGTGGAGAAATAATAAAAGGATGGATAAGGAATGGATGGACATACTGATGGACGGATAACAGAAGGACAGATGAACAAATGAACGAAAAAATATTAAATAAGATGGACAGGCGAACATAAGGAGGAATACATAAAGGGATGGATTTTTGATTAAAGGAAGAATAAATGAAGAGAATAAATAAACGGATAGATGCAGATTGACCAGATGAATGGATGGACAAAATGCTAATACATGATGGATATTAATGGATGAACAAATAGATGGATGGACAGACCAGATGGATGGGATGAATGGGCATTATTAATAAAACTATTACTCATTTCTTCCAGGTGCAGCTGAAATCAAATGAGTAAAACAAACGTGCTCGCTGAGTTTCCTATGACTCATTTATGACGAGAGGAATTTATGGCTGATATACGACGGGTCGAGGGAAGTACCTGGAAGAATTTCAGGAATGAGCCGCAGAATGTAACGCGTGACCTGAGCCTCAGTCAGAGCAGCTGCTTCGATGAGCGACGTGCTAAAACAGAAAGTCATGCGACTTGAGTGGGAGCCCTTGTTCTTCTGTTAGCTAGCTTGATTTCTTCTATGCCTGAAGATCACTTTAGTCAACATAACTACCGAACTGCTTGTGGTCGCTGACGAGACCAGAATACCATCACAGACAGGGAGTGAGGGCAAAGAGCATCAAGTTGCAGACTCCTCAGTGGCTCGTTGGATTTTGTGCTTACCAACACATTTGTCGAAACAAAGGAAAGTGGATAACGCTGCTAAATGAGCAGCAGAGCATCTGAACCCCTCACTGTTTCCTTCCTTTATTCTGACTCAAACACACACAGGGCAGCATGCTGGAGGCGAACGCCCGACGATAAAGTGAAGGGTTGCTCTGCTTCCTTGCTGCTGCTTTTGTTTAATAAGATTGTTGCCACGGTGAGAGGAGATAAGCAACAGTGAGTCAGGAAAACGCAGTCATGAGAACTGAAGGGTGAAACGCTCCTTTAGCTTGTCGTTCATATTTTAGCAAAAGAAAAGTTAAAGTGAAAATCACTTTGAGCTCGTTACATCAGAGGTGTGAACTCGCCTCTTTCAGTTTCTTGGCCCAGGGTTTCTGAGCCTTGCGGAAGCCGTCGTCCGTCTCTTTTGTCTCTTTGTAGCCGCCGATCATCTGCTTATGATACGAGTCCTTCTGCCAGTTCTTCAGCTTCTCGTAGTCTTCGCTCATCAACGCCGCCTTCACCTCCAGGTGGAGGTCGCTGACCTTCTCGGCCTCGGTGCAGAGGGCGGCCCACGCTCGCTCCAACGTACCGTACTGAGGGCCTGCACACGAAAATGATTTACACTGAATGCAAAAACATTCATGCACCGTAAGCTTTCCCTCCGTTTTGTCACACTGCAAACTCTTTACAAGTTCTCTGCATCTAAATCTGCTTCATGAGTTGGATCTCATCCATCACTGCAATCCGTTTTATTACTGATGCCTCTTAATACCCACCATTGTCATCCATACTCACTTGTTAACTGCTTTTCACTTCATTCATACAGATTAATAAATTGGTATAAATTAATCTGTAAAACTAGAATTGCTCCAATATTTCCAACAATACTCGCATAAATTAATCAGTCTGACGCTCCAAAGAGTTTGTAGATCAATAAGTGAATCCTCATTTCATTTAGTTTCACCCAAGGATTGGAATAATTAACAAAAAAAACAAACAAAAAAACAATAAAGCTCAGTACGCCAACTTCACCATCAGCCTTTGTCAACTCAGAAACAATAAAAAAAATTACAGTTCATGATCTGTGTAAAGCTATTGACTTATGGTGCATTTAGCTTGTATGAATATGGTTGCATGTTTATTTTTTTCTCCATTTTATTATATACTTTTCCGTCTTCTGGTGTATGATGCTCTGTGGTGTGATGTTTTAATGTTTTCAGAACAGGCCATTGTTTAAAATGACAATTTGTTCTCATTTAAAACATTAAAAAAAAAAAAGGAAGTTTAAACCTGCAGCGGTAAATCCACTTTGAAGGATGAATATATAATGTTTATTCCACTTCACAACATGCACTACTTTGTGTTGGTCCAAATAGGGGTGGGCATTTATTGTGTCGCTTATCATTTATTGTAATAAATTTCCTTCCATGATGATGTTAAAAAAACTGGCTAGCATGTTATTTTTAGCATTTTCTTCCCCGTTTTTCCCATGACAGCATCAATAACCATCAATAAATTTGAAAATGTGACTAAATTAAGTGCCTATATATTAAACACTACATTTCAGCAGTAACAAGCATTCGATCTCCTGTATTCTCACCCTTCTCTATGAGTTGCCGCCAGCGCTTTCCCCATTCTGTGAGCTGCAGCGCGTACGCCTTCTCAATGCGAGCGCGTTCGTGAATGCAGTTCATGAGGTCGCTGCACAGCCGATTGCCGTCATCAACCCGCTTCACCGTGCGTTTGTAGTTTCCAACCTGAGGGTAAAAATAAATAAATAAAAATACACAGATGAAAGGTTTACTAGGCGTTATAAATCAGGATTTGGCTGGGAAGAACTGAACTTCTCTTTTATAGTTTGTCCTCTCTGAAAGATGATGATGATGATGATTCATTCCCAAACGTTGCAACGAAAAAGCAAACAACAATCTAGTAGCTTTTTGGTTTTTATCTTGAAACGGAGTTGTAAATGTGTGCAGCAGAAACGTGACAAATAAAAGGATTTTGTATTGGAGGAAAAGATTGTAAAAGCCTCACCTCCCAGAAGCTTTCACTGGAGACGTCATTCATGGAGTCATCGTAGGCGCCCGACATCGCTGCTGCCCAAGATTACGCTAAAAAAAAAGAGAGAGAAAAACAAAAAGAACATGAACCAAAGTAAAATAAAACAAATCATCTGAAATTCACCCATGAAAAAAAAGCTTTGCAAACAGAAAGTGACTAATTCTGTGCCGTAAGTGGCGGAACTTTGTTTATTAAATCAAATGACGGAGGTTTCTTTTAGATAAGAATGATTTGTTGCTTGAATTAGAAAGTCAGAGAAGTATATAATAAAAAACACAATCCACAATCAGTTCACTTTAAACACTGATTAATGTGTTTGACTCTGAACTGTAAACCGGCCTTCCCACTCAACATAATTACAAATGCAAAATGTCAAACATAAGAAACTGCAGGCATAAACAACTTTTATCAAACGTTTGACAAAAGCTGGACTTTAATCAGCTTCAATAATATTTCAGAAAACTGAGCTGTTCAAACTGTAAGTAGTAGATAATGCTGCAGTGTTTTTCTTTTACATCAAATATATATAGTTTGGTAATAAATATACATATTTAGGAAATTAATTAGCTCCTGGTGTTTTTTCTTCCTTCTCCTCAACAAAATGTTAATGATTTTAGTGATGCTAAATATTTCTAAATCTGAGAAATATAAAGAATTTCGGATTAGTTTGGAGATTGATTTAATTAAAATTGCATATTATTGCTAGAATAATTAAAATATTTCTAAACATGACTTAAATATAGGATATAGGTTTAAAAATACTTTTGGTTGTGGTTTAGTCATTTCTACTTATTCTGGCATAATTTGCTTTGAATGCAATTTTACATTTTTATAGATTGATGAAGGTATGAAAACATCTCAAGATTCAATTTTTACAGGTTGGATTAAAGGTGAAAACAAACACCTTTCAGATCCTGACTTTGATTTAATCCAAGCCTGATTTTCACTTTTACAAAGACAAACAACAAAAGACAAAGATAAATCTGTGATGTGGTTTGATAATCCCGGCAGCAGGTGGGTGTTTTCACCCAGCTGGTTTTATTGATGACGAAGCGAACCCACGGAAGGTTCTGGTGACACTGACACACACACACACACACAGTCTCTGCTCTGGCAGAGATAAACAAAAAGCGACTGTCGAGGACACACAGCAGGCAGCTTCCGTTTCCTTGAGACGGGCGAAACACTCGGGCCTCTGTTTGTCGTCTCCACATCACGTCCATCATTTCAAACTCCACAGTCTCCTCTCTCTCTCTCATTCATCCCCTCATTTTGCTCTCCACTTGGTTACTCAGTCGTCTTCCCTTCCTCATTTTTCACCTTCCACTCTCTTGTGACTAGATTTTCAGACGGTGGCAACGTCTAGATCCAACAGACAGCAACTGAAAATTTGCGTCAGGATTTAAATGATTCCAGGAATTACTGGAGATAATTTTTTTTTTAATGTTGTTGTTCCCAATAAAAGAAAACAAAAGTAGCAGGGGAATTAGACCATGACGAACTACAAAGTGTTGATGATCTCTCCATTAATATTTTAAGCTTTTGAACAGATCAATAAGTTTTATTTAGAAATAATTAGTAACAGTTCACGCTAAGTGCTGTTGTTCTTATATATATATATATATATATATATATATATATATATATATATATATATATATATATATATATATATATATATATACATAGGCCAAAAAGAATTGCAGCAATAAAAACAAGTAAACAAGCGGCATACTTT